TATACCTTGTGCTTCTGGGCACTCCAGGTAGGCTGCAGTTCTGGAATATGACAGCCCTGGAGGATAATGGATTCCTGGTAGCTTCACGTTTGATTCTTCTCAAATCTTTGACAGTTAATGTGCGTCTTTTTTTCTCAACACTTTTCTTGCAACCCTGTTGACTATTTGCAACAAAACGTTTGATGGCTCTGTGATCACGCCTCAATATCTTAGCATTTTCAAGAGTGCTGCATCCCTATGAAAGACTTTTTACAATTTTTGACTTTTCAGAGTCACTTAAGTCTCTTTTTTGGCCCATTTTGCCTGAGGAAAAGAAGCTGCCTAATAATTATGCACACCTTGATATAGGGCAGGGGTGTCAAACTGCCAGCCTGCAGGCTGGACACGTCACGTGGAAGCCGCGCCCACCCCATTGCCGCGCCCACCCCATTGGCAAAACCGATATATTGCGCGATGTCACGTGATGTTGTGAGTTTGACATGCCTGATATAGGGTGTTGATGTCCTTAGGCCACACCCTCCCTCATTACACAAATACACATCACCTGATATGCTTATAACTGCTATAAGCATTTAAGTTTATACAGCTGGGAGGTGAAAAATATGCATGAAAATGATGATATGGTCAAAATACTCACTTGCGTAATAATTGTGCACACAGTATATGGTTGAGTAACCAGGGCTAAACCTTGAAGGATTACTAGAAGAAGAACAACCACAGACAAGACAAAATTAGACTGTGTTTGAAAACCACTTCTTTATGGCTTGCTATTATAAATCAGAAGCAACAAAGCAAGAATACTTAAAGTGAATGTTTGAATATTGGAAAAGAATTTATCCAGGCTCAAATGTCACTGAACAATGATTAGCAAACCAAAGGAGATTTATTACCAGAAATAAAATATTCAGGGATGCAGAACTGGAGGAGATTCAGAAAAATTGTAAAAATGGAAAACTCCCAAAACAATAATACAAGAAACTCAGAAAATAATTGAAAATATAGAATAAGAAATATAAGAAATAATAACAACAGAGCCAATATAGGCCCGTACTGAAACAATCTATTAACTGACACCACCCTCCCCCTCAAAAAAATGCTGAAGAACTAAAAGAGAAAATTATGGTATATGGAGAATTAACAGTAGAAAGACAAACACTGCCAGCATTAAAAGTAATACCCAAAACAGAGTTGGTGGCTATAATGAAGGATGTGAATAAGGCACTTGCAAGGATTAAAATAACATCTATTGAACAGACAAATCAACTTACCTACAGTACAGCAGTGGTAGTTAAAGAAGAACCGGGCATCAAAATTAGAAAAGACAATACTGATTTGGTGGAAACACCATTAAAACCATCAATACCTGGGCCACACCTTGCTGGAATTATTAACTGGACAGAAGATGCTGTCGTGATTCGGTGCCAGCCTGTGTTCCCAACAACTGAGTCTGAGGAATCTGAGGAGGAGGTGGAGGAGGCATTTGAAGGGCCATCAGGGTCAGAGGGAGGCTCTGGTGAATTACAGGACTCACGGTTTGATGCAGAGCCTGGGCCCTCCAGTTGTGTTCCTGATGAAGCTCAGCTGTTTGAGGAGAATGAGTCAGACTCGAAGGATTCACACCTGATGGACATGCTAATTGATGCTCGCACATGCCGGCAATTAGTGAGACTAAATCAGCAGCAGTCAATAGGCCAACTCCAGGGAAAAAGGAGAAGGCACTGAGAGGCAACGCCTTGGGACTGCTGTATAAAAAGAGGTGTGGGCGGTGCTGGTTGCTGAAGGCAACCGTTTGCAAAGTACTTCATGGGATCCTGTTCTGTTCGTCTTGCCTGTGACTACTCTTCTGTTTGCATCGTGTTTCATGTGGACTATTTCCTTCATTTGGATTGAGTTTTGCTGCTTTTGTTTCTGGACTATTTGGCAGGTTTGTCACCCATATTAAAAGGGGTTTGTTTTGTTTTAAGTCTCCGGCCTATTTTATCAACAGGGGTTTGGTCCTTGTGCCTTTAACGGCTATAGGCTGGGATAGAACAGATGCACTGGGCAGTTTGAACTGAAAAACAAGAAAGCTAATGACTATTCACTATGTATTATACCCTCATAATTATATGGATAAATTATACCTGCCCCATAGAAATGGAGGCAAGGGCTTACTTAAAGCCAACATTCTACAAGCCCGGTGCCAGTGCGGGGAGAGGGGATGGTTTTCTGTGAGGGGCAGGTGCGCATGCATAGCCACATGCACAGCGTCATTTGTGTGAGTGGCAAGTGTATGCACCCACCACTCGCATGAGTGGGGCTGCAAGTGCTGGTGCTCGCGTGAGTGGGGCTGTATGCTTGCCAGAGGCTGATAGCAGGCCATGGCCCACAGGTTGGGGATCCTGCTTTAAATCAAACTGTTGAGTAAGGAAAGCATGCATTAGATGATTACATAAAAGACAACCAAGAACAAGCATTGATGCAAGTTAAAAAATGGAATATTGAACATGCAGGAAACAAAATATGAATATTGAAATGATGTAATCAAAGCAAGAACAGAATGCTGGCAAAAACATTACATGGTCAATTTGTTCAAAAGGCTGAGGGGAACGTGGATAAAGATAAAACCTGGCATTGACTTACAACTGGGACATTAAAAAAAGAAACTCAAGGTTTAATTTTGGCTACTCAAGAACAAACTATTTGAACCAATGCAATCAAGGCCTAAACTGAAAAATTGCCAAATGATTCAAAATGCAGATTGTGCAAAGAGGCAGAAGAAACAGTAGATCATATATTCAGCTCATACAAGAAGAGTGCACAAACTGATTATAAACAATGACACAACACAGCTGCCAAAATGATTCACTGGAACATCTGTAAAAATGATCATGTGCCATTAAATGAAAAATTGGTGGGAACATATTGCCGAAAAAATAGTCAAAAGTAGCAGGTTAAAATAATGTGGGAGTTCAGAATACAAACTAGTAAAGTCTTGGCTCATAACACATCAAATTTAATTGTGCTCAAAAAGAAGAAAGTGTAGATAATTGATGTTGTTATATCAGGGGCCAGTAGAATAAAAAACAAAGCATTGGAGAAGATCACACTGTATCAAAAGCTGAAAATTGAAAATGAAAAATTATGGCATAAACCGGCCATGGTGGTCCCAGGGTTATCAGCACACCAGGTGCTACACCCAAAAGTATTGGACAGCAGTTCGAAAATCTGCACATTGACAAAGTTTCCATCTGTAAATTACAAAAAGGCCACACTGCTTGGATCTGCAGATATACTTCACTGATACATTATGATATCCTAAGTTCTTGGGAAGAACTCAATGCAAATTAAGACCAACACCAATTAAAGAACTGATAGCTGTGATTTTGCATTTTTGTGTATATAATGATAACTAAAAACAATGGCATGACAAAGTAACAACAATGATGTATTAGAACATCTGCAAGAAATACCATTTGCCTGCAAGCTAGAACAGTGAGACCACAAAATAGGCAAAGGTATACAAAATAAGAAGCTAAAGTGTTCTAGGACTTTAAAATTCAAACAGACAAGCACTGCCACACAATACCCCAGGCTTAATCATTGTTGGTAAGAAAGACAAAAAAGTCTGGATAGTGGATACTGCAGGAGTTGGAAACAGCAGAAGAGAAGAGAAAGAACAGAAGAAGGTAACAAAATACAAAGACCTGCAACTGTAACAAAAGAAAACAAAGATGATATCAATTCTGATAGGTGCCTTGGGTGCAATTTCAAAAATCTTGAGCACCACTTGAATCCCATTGTCATTGACAAAATCACCATCAGTCAATTGCAAATGCCAGCTTTATTTGGAATAGCTTACATCCTGCAACCATACCTCCAACACCACAAAACATCCACATCTGCCTATCCCCAACTCCTTGGGAAGGACTCAGATAGGAGGACAAAAATCCATTGTGAACATCTGTCTGACTGTGTGATGAACCATAATAATGCTGCAAATATGAAAGAGCAATATCAGCCTCCAATTCCATTCCATAAGCATTCCATACAAAGTAAAAATGGTGTGTAGTTAAACTGGAAATGCCCACTTTTTTTGGAGGGGGGGAGATGGGAGGGCAGAAATATCCAAGGTGGGGAAGGAAGGATGACAAAAAAACAGCATCACCAGTTTTTGTAAACGTGGTCAGCCATAGCCACCCATGGCATCCATTTTGAAAAGAGACAAGTCTCTCCCTAAGTCATCTATGAAACTCTCCACAATATGTCCCTCTGCCCAGCCAGATGGTGGACCTCTGATCTTGACAACAGACTGAGCAGTCACGCAGCTCACTTAGTCACAGTCTTCCCCCCCCCTTGTTATGAGATACAGTGTATTTTTACCTTAAATGCATTATGTTTACATAAACATCTCTCTTTATAAATTAACACATGCAAATTTATGCAAACCTGTTGGCGTGAGTGATACATTTTTTTAATGTGCAAGTGATATATTTCCTTTTTGGGAGGGTATGAAAATTTGAGGAGCATAAAGGTATCTAGATCTTCTGGAAATTGAGGCTGTTTTTTTTATTCTGCATTTCCCAAAATGGCAGCCTTGAGATCAGTAGGGAGTACAGTTCTGAGACTCTTCAGCCTGTCTCTAGCCAAACATTTGGGGAGTTAAAAATCCTGACTGAAAAGCAGCCCTCAATGTCTTTGTATCTCCTTACCCATATTCTTGATGAATACAAGCTAAAAGTGAGCTCTGAAGCTCAGCAGGCCCACAGTCTTGCTCTGATACTTGAAAATATTATTCTCATGGGTGGACAGGGAGGAGAGTGATCAAATACCACCTTGCAACACACACTTATATGCAAGAGTGCAACATCAGAAGGCATATTTGGGGTTTTTTTTAGCATCACTGCAGTTCTGAACCAACACCTAAAGTCATTTATGTATTTTCCCTGCTGTGCTTTGTGAATTGGAAAGAAGACTGGCTATAAAATGGAGCTGTAAATCTCTTTCCTTTCCTCAATCAGGGCTGAAAATATAAACCAAGACCTGGATCTGGAAAGTCCCACCTGCGTGGCTGGGGAAGGATGGTTCGAAGGAAAAAGGTAGGAAGAACGCCTGGAAAAGATACTATTTATTTAATAAATGCATACGCTGCCTATCTTGCTGTCCAAAATGACTGTGAACCTGAGTGTGTGTGAAGGCTCACCAGTCCTTTAAAGCAGAGGTCCCCAACATTTTGGGCACCAGGGACTGGTTCCGTTGAGAGAGGTTTTTCCGCGGACTGGAGGGGGCGTGGTTTCATGTACTGTCTGCATCCCGCGGATGGGCTTTGCTTGTTTGTGTGGACCGGTTTCTGGCCTGCCGCAGCTCGGTGCCGGTCCATGGACCGGGGGTTGGGGACCCCTGCTTTAAGCTATGCATTTGGAAAGGCCCCATGCAGCTTTTCTGAAACCTCCCTTTTTCAGGGCTTCAGATCAAGCAACAAAGCTCTACCTGGCCTTCATGTACTATGAAGAAGGAAAGCCTGTGATTTATCAGGAGTGATGTCTCCTCTGGAGGGATCCAGCACTGTGGCCTATTTTCCCTGAGGAAATGGTGTTCATGAGTCTAAACTACTGGTGGCCTTTTGGGCTCAGTGTGTCAGAAATTTAATACAGGTAGTCCCTGACTTACAACAGTTCATTTAGTGACCATTCAAAGTTACAATGGCACTGAAAAAAGAAGTGACTTATGACCATTTTTCACACTTGCGACCTTTGTAGCATCCTCTCGGTCATGTGATCAAAATGCAGATGCTTGGCAACTGGTTCATACTTACGACCGTTGCTGTGTCCCAAGGTCATGTGATTCCCTTTTGCGACCTTCTGACAAGCAGAGTGAATGGGGGAAGCCAGATTCACTTAACAACCGTGTTGCTTAACAACCGCAGGGATTCACTTAACAACTGGGGTAAGAAAGGTCATAAAATGGTGCAAAACTGACTTAACAAATGTCTCACTTAACAACAGAAACGTTGGGCTCTATTGTGGTCCTAAGTGGAAGACTACCTGTACATGTCTAACTTGACTCTGCTGGTGTCACTCTCCCTGAAAAAAAGAGAAACAATTCTTTACATATTCATTTAGGTGTCTGATTCCCAGGATCTGCTGTGTGCTGTCCACTGCTTACCACGTGAGAACACGGCCCTCTTATGCAACTTTCATCAGGCACTGAGGGTACAAACAGGTTGGGCCTGCAATGAAGTATTAGTTTATGGAAGATTCCCTCACAGGTTGCCAACCAGCGTGAGCAGATATGGATGGGAAGAGGCTTTGGCTATTGATTGTCCTACTCAAAATTCTAGGGCAGGGGTGTCAAACTCAATTTCATTGAGGGCCGCATCAGCATTGCAGTTGCCCTCGGGGGGCCAGGTGGGTATGGCCTACTGGGTGGGCGTGGATGGCATGGGTGTGGCCTACTGGGTAGGCGTGGCCAGCTCTACATCATTCGCGTCAAGGGTGCCTGTGGGGCCCTGGGCAGGAGTGGGACAGATCTGAGGGTCTCTGGCAGAAAGGGGTGGGACCAAGGTAGAGTCCATCAAGCCGGATAGGTGAAGTAGGCGAGGGCCATTTGCTGGCCACTTCCAGGCGATGGTGCATTTCTTCATTCCTCATAAAGGGTGACACCTCCCCAGCATGTACCAGGGGGTGGGGCCGATGCGGCAGGGGCTGGTTCCTCGCTGTTTCTGGACGGCCTTGTGGAGCTAAGACTGAATGCATTTCAGCATAGATGGCTGCCACAAAATTGTACATTGGCTCCCGGTCGGCCTGGGCCAGGGCCAAGGCAGCGGGGACCGTTCCCTCACTGTTTCCAGGATGGCTTTGCGGGCCGCATCCAGCCCCCGGGCCTTATGTTTGACATGTCTGTTCTAGGGCAATGGTTCTCAACCTGTGGGTTGGGACCCCATCTGGGGTCGAACGACCATTTCACGGGGGTCGACAAACAACGCAGTCTGCCAATTTTTCCCCCTTTTCCTTAGCTGTGCTACTCCCTTTTATTCTATTGGCTTTTGAAAGCCAATAGAATAGACCAGTGGTTCTCAACCTTTTTAATGCCACGACCCCCAACCAGTCGTAAGTCAAGGACTACTCAACCGATTGTAAGGCGAGGACTACTCAACTGGTGCAGCACCGTTTGCAGAATGGGACTTTTGGCGGGCTCAGCAGGGCAGAGACAGCCTGGACAATTCCTATTAGCTTTTGAAAGCCAATAAGACTCTGTTCAAGAGAGTCTGTTCTATTGGCTTTCAAAAGCCAATAGAATAAAAGGGAGTAGCACAGCTAAGGAAAAGGGGGAAAAAATGGCGGACTGCGTTGTTTGGCGACCCCCGTGAAATGGTCGTTCGACCCCAAATGGGGTCCCGACCCACAGGTTGAGAACCACTGGAATAGACTCTCTTGAATAGAGTCTAATTCTATTGGCTTTCAAAAGCCAATAGGAATTGTCCAGGCTGTCTCTGCCCTGCTGAGCCTGCCAAAAGTCCCATTCTGCAAACGGTGCTGAACCAGTTGAATAGTCCTCGACTTACGACCGGTTGGGGTTCGCGGCATTAAAAAGGTTGAGAACCACTGTTCTAGGGGATTCCATAGCCACCGGCTGTGTTCAGTCTTCATGTGGGGAAAAGATTGTGGATGAGAAGGAGAATATGGGATCCCTCTTTACAAGAAGTGAAATGCACAAGGGGGAGACACTCTTCTTACTCATTGCACAACTGTTCAGGAAACCTGCTGCGTCTGACATTCTGTTCCAATCTCAAAAAAGGAACAGATAACCACTAAAAATAGATTATTTTGATATCCTGGTCAATTGGATTTTTTTTAGTTTAAAACTTTCTCCGGTCCAAATGGGAGAGTGCTGCAGTTTGCAAACGTAATCTTACACTTAGGAAGAAGGGGGTTGGACACGATGACCTCCAGGTCCCTTCCAACTTTATTACTATTATTATAAGGAGAATCTAGTCTCAGGACAGTGAAAATGGCTGCCCTGTTTCCTTACCATCCCATCTTTGAATAATGTTTTTTTTTTTTCTGCTGAAGTTTTACAGGACTAAAATGCTTACACCACCTTTGGTCCTGATAGGTTATGACTATGCTATACTGTAGATGCTGGATTTTTTTTATGGCCTATGGGTGTTTAAAATATCTGTTAGTGTAAATGTGCTTTCAATCTAAGGTATCTCTCTCTCTCTCTCTCTCTCTCTCTCTCTCTGTGTGTGTGTGTGTGTGTGTGTGAGAGAGAGAGAGAGAGAGAGAGAGAGAGAGAGAGACAGACAGACAATAATAGTGTATAGCTGTATATATACATATGTATCAACCTAGTTGTATCTATGTATATCCAACACTTGAAGATGTAATTCCTGTTTATCCTACTTAATATGTATGATATAATATACCATCTGGACATTTATTTTCAAATTTCTTTTCTCCATAAATAAGCTAGATTCACTGAAACTGCTAAGACTTAGTGTTTTCAGTTATAATTAAGTATAGCTCTAGCCTCTATCTATCTATCTATCTATCTATCTATCTATCTATCTATCTATCTATCTATCTATCTATCCTCTCTTTCTTTCTTTCATCTGTTTTATTTTTTCTGACAAGTATCTAGTTCTAAAAGATAAACAAAAACACTTCCTTAAGATTTTACTTTCTAAATCATAGAAGTAACCCACAAGTAAAAGAAAAAATACAGGAACCTAGCATCTGTATGGACACAGAGTCTAGATGCCCAGTTGCAATGTTTGGTACAGCATGTTAAGAAAATTCTTTAAAGTTGACTGTATATATTTAATAAATGTTAAAACTCCATGTCTGTTCCTCTTTCACTTTAGCTAATGGAAGCATGTTCTTACCACCAAGAAATTTGAAGTTTTTTTAGGAGTGCAGATTGACCTTTCTGCTGTGTTCTTGGCTGTTCACAGTATTTTTTAGGAGTCTTCTCCAACATCAGAATTCAAAAGCTTCAACAAACAGATAAAAAAACAGATCTGTGAATATCTAGAAACAAATAAAGTTATAACTAGTAGCCAGCACGGGTTTGTTAAAAACAGATCATGCCAAACCTATCTTATTTCATTCTTTGACAAAGTGACTAAATTAGTAGACCAGCGAAATGCTGTGGGCATAGTATACTTAGACTTCAGCAAGGCATTTGATAAAATAGACCACAACCTATTTCTTGGTAAGCTAGAAAAATGTGGAATAGACAGCATCACCACCAGATGGATTTGTAACTGGCTGATAAACCGTACTCAGTGAGTAGTACTTAATGGTACTACATCTGCAAGGAGGGAAATAAGTAGTAGGGTGTCACAAGTAATAGTAATAGTAGTAAAGTTGGAAGGGACCTTGGAGGTCATCTAGTCCAACCCCCTGCTCAGGCAGGAAACCCTACACCATTTCGGACAAATGGCTGTCCAGTCTCTTCTTAGAAACTTCCAGTGTTGGAGCATTCACCACTTCTGGAGGCAGGTAGTTCCACTGGTTAATTGTTCTCACTGTCAGGAAGTTTCTCCTTAGTTCTAGGTTGATTCTCTCCTTGATGAGTTTCCACCCGTTGCTTCTTGTCCTGCCTTCAGGTGCTTTGGAAAATAGCTTAATTCCCTCTTCTTTATGGCAGCCCCTGAGATATTGGAATACTGCTATCATGTCCCCCCTTGTCCTTCTCTTCGTTAAAATAGACATACCCAATTCTCGCAACCGTTCCTTATATGTTTTAGCCTCCAGTCCCCTAATCATCTTTGTTGCTCTTCTCTGTACTCTTTCTAGAGTCCCAACATCTTTTTTACATCGTGGTGACCAAAACTGGATGCAGTATTCCAAGTGTGGCCTTACCAAGGCATTGAAGAGTGGTATTAATACTTCACGTGATCTTGATTCTATCCCTCTGTTAATGCAGCATAGCACTGTGTTGGCCTTTTTGGCAGCTGCAGCACACTGCTGGCTCATATTTAAGTGATTGTCTACTAGGACTCCGAGGTCCCTCTAACAGTTACTACTATTGAGCATGGTGCCACCTATGCTGTACTTGTGCATTTGGTTTTTCTTGCCTAAATGTAGAACCT